AGAGAGAGAGAGAGAGAAACAGCGCAGCAGTACCCAGAAGCCACCAATCTTCCACCAAAAGCCCTTCCTACAACACCTGCCGTGATCTGATAAAACGCTTTTTTTTTTTCATTTCGGTCAGACATTTTTTATTCCACTAATGAATTCTACATGACGAAAGCCATCTTGAGATATCAATATGAAAGCCTAAGTTTGACTAGTTTAAAAAAAAATTAATTAGCATTTAGATTTGTTAAAACGCATTTCTTCACAGTGTGTTCTGATGAAAAGCATAATTTTTTCAGAGATGATCCAATGAGACGCATTTTTTCTTGTGAGAAAAGCTGATCGACCGTCCACATCACCTGTGATCTGATACTGATAAAACACATTTTTCTTCCCGAGATTGACTTGAAAAAAAGCGTTTCATTAGATCACAGTTGAGTACTCACTTTGTCCCGTTGAGCTCCGTCAGTTTCTTCCCCACCACGTGAAAGTCTGGCCTGGCCTCTGGCACTTCCGCCCAGCATAACGTCATCAGGGCGAAGGCTTTGGGCGGGGAGTCAGAGTCCCCGGGGATGGTGGGACGGTATGGTCGGCATGCACTCTCGTTTTTTACGAGGGTTATCACCTCTAGGGGTAGGGGTGGGTAGGGGTGAGGTGAGGTGAGATGAGATTAGATAAGAAAAGCATAAGGTCATGAGATTTATAATTTTAGTTTAGTTTTAGTAAGAGTTTTACGGCACTTGCAACACAATAAGGTCATAATTATTATGTTTTATCAAAGGTTCTGGTATTTTATAGGTTTCTGTGCACGACTAAACTCTATCGAAACTAACTGTGTTATAAAAAGCTGGAAGTATCTTTATTACTTTGTCCTCCTACAATTTTGAATAACTTGGGAGGTCGGTCATTACAATTTTGGCATTGGTGATAATCTTTTAGTTTTTCTTCATGCCTATTAGTAAAAACCAACAAGTTATTAAGTATTAACAAATGTTCTGGTATTTCATAGGTATCTGTGAAGGGTAAACTCTATCGAAACTAACTGTATTATAAAAAGCTGTAAGTATCTTTATGATTTTGTCTTCCTACAATTTTGAGTAACTTGGGTGGTCGCTCGTTACACTTTTTGTACAGGTTATAATGTTTTAGTTTTTGTGGATGCCTCATTTGTATAATACAACATATTGTTATGTTTAAGCACAGGTTCTGTCATTTTATAGGTTTCTGTGCATGGCAAACTCTATCAAAACTAACTGTGTTATAAAAAGCTAGAAGTATCTTTATTACTTTGTCCTCCTACAATTTTGAGTAGCTTGGGTGGTCGGTCGTTACACTTTTTCCATTGGTCATAATCTTTTAGTTTTTGTTCATGCCTATTTGTAAAAACCAAAAATTTATAAATGCCGAATGCCAGACATTTACAATTTATCCTCGTTCTTTAGAACCATCTTGCTTTACTTTTAGTACAAAAGAAACGAATGAATATGGACAGATAAACCCAAAACACCACCACCAACAACACCACCAACACCACCAACAACAGCAACAACAACAACAACAACAACACCACCACCACCACCACCACCAACAA